GTTAGGGTTAGGGTCAGGGTTAGGGTTAGGGTTAGGTTTAGGGTTAGGGTCAGGGTTAGGGTTAGGGTTAGGTTTAGGGTTAGGGTCAGGGTTAGGGTTAGGGTTAGGGTCAGGGTTAGGTTTAGGGTTAGGGTTAGGGTTAGGGTCAGGGTTAGGGTTAGGACTCGGGCCGCTCGTCTGAGTCAGCACGCAGAGCTGCTGCCCACCACCCCAAGATCCACACATTCAGGGAATAAATCAGGCTTTTCCTGATTTAAACTGAGTTTATCCGAGAGTTTGAGCCAAAATTAGGTTGTTTTTATGGCTCAAAGTGAGTTTATCTGTGAGTTTGAGTAAAAATTAGGCATTTTTTCTGCTTTAAACTGAGTTTCTCTGAGAGTTTGGGCCAAAATTAGGTTGTTTTTATGGCTCAAAGTGAGTTTTTCTGAGTTTTTTAGTCAAAATTAGGCATTTTTCTGCCTTAATCTGAGTTTATCTAAGAGTTTGGGGCCAAAATTAGGTTGTTTTTATGGCTTAAACTGAGTTTTTGAGTCAAAATTAGATATTTTTCTGCTTTAAACTGAGTTTCTCTGAGTTTTTGAGCCAAAATTAGGTTGTTTTGATGGCTTAAACTGAGTTTTTTCTGGGTTTTTTAGTCAAAATTAGGCATTTTTCTGCTTTAATCTGAGTTTATCTGAGAGTTTGGGACCAAAATTAGGTTGTTTTTCTGGCTTAAACTGAGTTTTTGAGTCAAAATTAGATATTTTTCTGCTTTAAACTGAGTTTCTCTGTGTTTTTGAGCCAAAATTAGGTTGTTTTTATGGCTTAAACTGAGTTTTTCTGGGTTTTTGAGTCAAAATTAGTAGTTTTTCTGCTTTAAACTGAGTTTATCTGAGTTTTAGTCAAAATTTGGCTTTTATTCTGCTTTAAACTGAGTTTCTCTGTGAGTTTGAGTCAAAATTAGGCATTTTTGGGCCTCAGACTGAATTTTTTTAACAAAACGAGGCAGTTTTTATAGCTCAAACTGAGTTTCTCTGTGAGATTGGGCCAAAATGAGGCATTTTTCTGCTTTAAACTGAGTTTCTCTGTGAGTTTGGGCAAAAATGAGGCAATTTTTGCTCCTCAGACTGAGTTTTTTTTTTAACTAAATGAGGCAGCTTATATATCTCAAACTGAGTTATTTGTGAGGTTAAGTCAAAATTAGCTATTTTTCTGCTTTAAACTGAGTTTCTCTGTGAGTTTGAGCCTAAATTTTGCATTTCTTTGGCTTGAGCCAAAATGAGGCTGTTTTTTGCCCCAGACTTATTTTCTCTGTGAGTTTGAGTGAAAATGTGGCTTTTTTCTGCCTTATAATGAGTTTTTGAGCCAAAAATAGGCTGTTTTTATCGCTCAAACTGATTTTCTCTGTGAGTTTGTATCAAAATGTTTGTAAAAAGAGGCTGAATTTCTACAGTCTGAAGCTATTCTAATAATTACAGTTTGGGAAGAAGCTTTAAAATCCACATTTAAGCACCAAACCAGGTCCTCTTTACTCCAATCCCGAGTCAAAAGTGGAGTTTGGGGAGGAGGCCTCATTCTTAACATATTGATTTAAAGATGATTTAAAGAGGTTTGAGTGTTTTAAAAGACTTAGCCGGGGGTCCTGCTTCCTCCCCTGACAGAGGAACTCATTCCTCCTCTGGGAGGATGTGAAACCCTAAAAAAGGAGCGGAACAAAGAAGAGAAGTCCCCAGAAATCCTGTTTCCTGTCGGTCAGAATCTGGGTTTCTGAGGCCTTTTCCCTCCATCAGATACAGAAATGCACCAAATGATGAGTCCCTGAGAAAAAGACTGAAAATGAGAGAATAATAATGATTTTATGTTGGGAGTTTGAATTTCTGGGCTTTAGAAACGCATTAAAAACTGTTTTTTTTGCCGAGTTAGACACAAAGCTGGCTCATCCCTTGAGTTAGGGGCCTTTTTCTGACTCTACAAAGACTAAAAATGCACTAATAATGAGTAAAACAGTAGAAAATGTCCAAACAAAAACTCTGATAAACCTCAGAAATCCTGGATGAGTGTCATTAAAGAACACTTTTTATTTATTTAAAGAAATTAAAGGTGGAAGACTTTTTAAACTAATCTTTATGCTTCTGATCCACTTTAAACTGCTGCTCTGATGATTAGACACAGCACTGGCTCATCCCTTCAGTTAGGGGCCATTTTTCTTATGTCAATATTTAATTCTCCTCTTCATTTGGACCTAAATTGGATCTAATTTATCTTTATAATACCCCATTTGTGAAATTTGAACTATTTTTTAGCTTCTTTTTAGCTTTTTTTTTTACTTGACTTTTTCTCATTATTGTCCTTAAATCTCTATTTGTCTAATTAAATGTAAAAACTGTTTCTTTGCTGTGTTGGACACGTCATTGGTTCATCCCTTGAGTTAGGGGCCTTTTTTCTGACTCAACAAAGACTAAAAATGAGTGAAAAGTAGAAATTGTCCAAATAAAAACTCCAACAGAGCTCAGAAATCCTGCATAAGTGTCACTAAAAAACACTTTAAAGGACATCTGGCTGCTTTGAGGGAAAATATAAAGAAATTAAAGGTGGATAAAGACTTTTTAAAGTAATCTTTATCCTTCTGATCCACTTTAAGCTGCTGCTCTGCTGATTGGACACAGAGTGGCTCATCCCTTGAGTTAGGGGCCTTTTTTCTTTATTATTAATCCCAATTTTGAGGTTTAACTTATTTTTTTGCTACTTTTTCCTCTCATAATTGTCCTAAAAATCTCCTTTTGACTCATTAAAGGACCTTCTGTCCGAATGAGAGAAAAGGCAGAACAGTGTTTTTCCACCTTTAATTTATTTTCTGTCGTTATTTAACTCTCCTCTTCATTTTGACCTAAATTGGATCTAATTTATTTTAAATATTAACCCCATTTGTGATGTCTAACTTTTTT